AGCCTGGCATAACCGCCTCTGTCTCTCTGCCGCAGCCGTTACTGCCAGAGCTGAGGTGGCGGGTGCAGGCAGCTGTTGTAGAGTACGGCTCTGCCAGGCAAGGGACAACTCTCAGGGCAGGCAGGCACGGCGCCGCCTGACAAGAGACGTGGGCGCAGGTCTCCAGATCTGTTAGGTACGGTTGTCAGGCAGGAGATCTTCCTGCGATATGCCGAACTGCTCTTCTGTACCGAGCTACCCTACAAGTGGCGAGCTGCCTGGGGGGAGCTATGCTGAGCTGCTTGTGGCGCCGAGATGCCTGTGGCGAGCTCTGCCGAGCTGCTTGTGGTGAGCTATGCCGAGCTGCCTGTGGCGAGCTATGGCAGACTCTGCCGAACTGCTTGTGGCGAGCTATGCCGAGCTGCCCGAGTTGCCCAGTTATCAAGAGGCTGTACTTGGTTTGCATGAGGTGCTAGGTGTCACAATTTCATTGGAGGGCCAAATCCACCCTCATCAGGGGAACTTTGTCAAAGCAAATAAAAGAAAAGAAAAATGAAGTTCAAAAAAAAAAAGAAGAAAACATGAATTTAAGCAAATAACAGGGAAGGTAGTTATAGTTTTGAAGAAAGAAGTATGCTTGTACACATTCTTTTTTTTTTTTTTAATTGGAAACACAGAAAAAAGATTTCATTAATTAAAAAAGATCAGGTTACAACAAGAAGTTGTGAAAAGAAAACCAGCTTTAGAAGCTGACGCAATCCTAGTTTACATTTGAGCCCAAAACATATGTGTTCTATGTACCCCTTGCTTTGCTAAGCTATCTTCCATGCTTGTACTCATTAAGGAACCATATGATTAAGAAGGTTATCTCTCTATTGAGAGAATATCTCAAAACTCCTGTGTTTATGTTTTTGTATTCCCAAATGATCCAAAACACATGAAATACCTACAAAAACATAGACAGACAAGTCACCTCTATTGATGTTCTAATTAAAATTATGAAACAAGCAGTAGTGCATTCAGCACCAAATCTAGTAAGAAATTTCAATTGTCCTTTACTAAAATATGAAAAAAAATCTTGTTTTAATTTAACCAAATAAAATAAGAAATTGTATAAGGCATAAATGAAAATTGTGAAGCCGATGTATTGTGGCCAAAGGGATTCTCATTTGTTGGAAAAAACCAATAAGAAACTACAAAAGTTTAGCTTGATCACTTGGTCACTCCTTGGGTTGGAGGGAACCGTATATAGCCAACTCCATCCTCCCAATGGGCGATTATTTAATTAACCAAGACAAAATGTTTTCCTGGAAAAAACAACATCCTCCTCTTCACGGACAATTACTTGCTTAGCTTGTGGCACTTCTTTTTAGGCTTGGTTGGCCTACAGCAATGGGTGGTTCTTGGTCGTTTGAAGATATGCTCTGTTATTGGATAGAGTGGGGCTTAGGTGTAAGAGGAAAGATTTAATGATAATCTATCTTGTGATGTGAGGTATATGGGAAGAGAGAAGAAGATAGATGTTTGAAGACAAAAGGCATCTTTTAAAGCACTAAGAAGTTGCACTCTTGCCCTCCTTAGTTCTTCGACACTGTAATTTGAAGAACTTAGAGGTAAGGGTCACTTATGATGAGTTTATGAGGAATTTACCAAAAATTCTCCATACACTGTAGAGCAATCCCATTTCTATATCCTAATAGAACTACAAAAGTATGATTTAGATAAGGGTTTACTTTTGTCTCTTCAGAATAGTATCTTTTTTGGTAGAGATAATGCTATTGTAGTTTAGCATGTCATGTCCCAAATCACCAGCCCTCACCCTACTTTAATTGTATCGGAACTACTTTATTGCTCAGGGTGAAGGAATCCACTTGATTTTGGTTTCCATGGCAATGGCTGCCCGAAACATGTGGGCTTTATTTAATTTTTAATATGGGTGTCAAAGATACACAATGCCGCAGTTTGAACATAAGGAAGACATAACTTTCATGGGGGATTCCTAGGAAATGCATCCTTTTGGATCTCTTCCTTATTGTGGTCGGGAAACTCACAAGGTTGAGCCAAAAGTTAGACAAGTTAGCTCTCCGTAATATCGTGGAAAATTTCAAGTCCCTTTTGTGGGGTTAGATCTTAGATTGACTGACTTATTCTAACTCCAATGTTTTAGTCCAAAGCCTCATTCAAAGTGATATTGAGAACTGAAACTGGTAATAACTTAGCTTAACTCCTATGAATTGGTCTATTCCAATAAAATTTAACCTTTTTGGGTTACAGTTTTGAGCACATAGGTTTTCTATGCTATCGTCTTTCCATTTGTCATATGCATATCTCCAAGAATGCCATTTTTTTCAAGCATGTTTCTTATTTAAGAGTCATAGCTATATTTTTTGGTTGCTTTATGGCTGTTTTGCTCGAATTTGATCTTTTAGGTGTGTAGGAGTGATTTGACATTGTGAAGGACTATTCTCCGAAAGTTCAAGGAATGGTGAGCTGAACAGAGGGGACGGAAGGAGTTCGCCGAACCCCCAGAGGGGCTGCCTACATACCCTCCGACAAGGGGTCAAATCACTGTAGTTTGTTGGTTCTAGAATTCTGACAGGAGGGAGATGACATTGTAAAAGGGAGGTCGAGGAGGTTGAGAGAGGTTACAAAATGGGTTTCAGATCTCGGATCTAAGTTTTGAGAGAGAGTCTCTCTCAAGCAGGAAAGGAAGCTCACATGGTTTGGGGGTATGAACACGTTGTGGATCCTCTTGGGGAACCTCTATTTATAGATTTCCTTGGAGGTTTCCCTTTTTGGAAAGTTCTTTTTGAATTTGTTAAGAAGTTGTTTGATTTGTGTCACTTGGATTAGTTGGAATCTTGTCATGTGTCCATGTGGTTACCTCAGTACTTGGGATCCCGTCCTTTCCTGACGTATGTAGGTGAGAACGTAGTGCGTTCGGGCTCTGGCTGGTCTCATGATTGAGGAGACGTGTGATCTTGTTGTCAAGGCTTTGACCAGGTTTTGGAATGTGGTGAGATAGCAGAGTTGGTTCTGAGGGATCTCATGGCGTTTGCGATTCAAGTAAGTGAGCGAGACTATGATAAGGTGATTGGCGATCTTGCAACTGAGCTTGCAATCTCAGGGGTTGCATAGGATGTGAGTTGCTATGGCCCTTCCAGAGTCTTTAAAGGAGAATGCAATGAGAATGGAGTTAAGTGTTAATTTATATATATGTGATTATGTGATGGGTGTGGTGGAAGAGTGCTTTGTCAAAAGGCTAGCTCAGTAATGCGATGAGACAAGTGGTTCTCATTGCATCCTGACCTATGAACTGTGATGGATTGTGTTCATGTTATGCACTATTGTCCCGTTGCATTGCTATCGATGCAATGGTTATCACATGGTCTTACAAGGTTTTTTCATGATCAATGAAGAGAAGTCCTCTCATGCTCCAGAAAAACCTTTGAAGGTTTATCAGCTATGAGCAAAGCATTACTTTCTTGGGGTTCCTTCCCCTTCCCTTCTAGTGGATGGTCTTACCATGTCTCCTGAATTACTAGTAAGTGACCTACCACCTCCTAAATCTAATACTTCTTATGTCTTCATTGTTCTTCTCAAGAAACCATTACCCTTGGTTGACTCTCATTATTATAATAATAAAACCCTGAAAAGAAAAGATGAAGGTAGGAAACAATTGTGAAGTCCACTTAAAAAAAAGAAGAAACCCTAATCCTCGGTTGACTTTCTCATTCTTGTAATAATAAGAGGGATAATTACTTAAACTACCCTTGGGGTTTCTGACAAATACTTAAGGGTCATTTACTGAAACACCCCCTATAGTTTCATGGATTTACTAAAGCCCACCTTATAGTTTGTGTTTTACTAAAATACTCCCTATAGCTGACAGTGGAAAATGACAGCTTTAATCCTAATGTCCATTTGAATAAATTCAATTAAAAAGTAAATAAAAATGAAAATACCATTTTTGCCCCTAGTAAGATACGAGCAACCACACTATTTGGCTCTATTTGGTCAATTTTATTTTTTGTATGAAAAAGTATTAGGGGGTACTTTTGGAATAAACAGCCATGGGACCATGCCCTTGAACATTTTTCACTCAATTTAGGTTATAATGTTACTATTTTCAGATGGAAAAACAAACACTTCTTAGTGAAAGGTTGATTAAGTAAATAGGTTGCAAACTATAGGGGGTGTTTTAGTAAAATGAAAACTATAGGGTAAGTTTAAGTACATCCATGAAACTATAGGGGGTGTTGTAGTAAATGACCCAATACTTAAAGTACCCCTAAGGTGTTTAATAAATGACTTAAAGTACCCTTAGGCTCAGTTTGGAAAGAGTACAAATACAAATATGCACAGTACAAAAATTATTCAAAATACAAGGTTTTGCACTTTATATATCTGCATTTGTACTCGTTCCAAACAGAGCCTTATGGTTTCTGACAATAGGGCAAATACCTCCCATTTCTAAGTTCTCTGTCACATTCCATTTGCATGTGACATCATGTGACTGTTATAATATTTTTAAATCCAGTTTTGCCCTTCTATTTAAATACATCTTTATTTTTTTACCCTAAAATAGAAGTCTTTTTTTTTTTTTTAATTTCTTTTGCAACTTCCACCATGAAACTGCTCTGAAGAGATTGGTTATTGATAAAAAAAAAGCTCTGAAGGGATCAGTAATTAGAAGTTTCAACCACCGTGCCAATATATCATCAGAAACATAAGATGCTTCATACAAGAACACATCAAACATATATTGAATAAAAATAGAGGATAGCCTAAAATGTCTGTCCATGATTTCAGCACTCTGAAGCAAGGGTTTGCAAATTTTGAGTAAAAGCTGGATACCAAAGATTGTGGTACAGAAGTACAACAATTAGTTACCAGGTATGATAGTTTTCTATAATTGCCCATATAAGTAAAGGATATGCATCAAACTCATTGTACAAGTACAAATTTATAGTCCAGTCATCTTGAAAAGGCCGCAACAAGCTGATGACTTGTTTGAACATCATTACAGTCCTATCACCTTGAAAGCTTCTTCAAATGTCGAACCACTTTGGGTCCAAATAGAAAATATATGGAGAACCGATTCATGTCTGTTGGAAACTTACGAATCCTGGACTGTAACTCGAGTTTCTCTAAATGCTATTATGACTCCAGAAATTGGGTGAGCATCTGGTGGACATCTAACATGTACAACTGTATCCTTGTGCCTTGTTTGAACATCAATCTCCAGGACAAGTGATTGATTTTGGTTACCACTCACCATCTCCCCTTGAGTTTCAACGACTCTGATTTTCATTTGGAGATCAGTAATGGCATCTTTTTGTGGGTTTGTTAACAAAATGGGGCAGGATAAGTCCCTTGAAAAAGGAGTATTCTTGTTGCAGGAGAAATGGAGGTTGCACGGAGCATCCTGGAGAGGCTGAGACCAGTTGTGTGTTTTAAAGGCTGGGATTACTTTGTTCTTTAGAAATCAAGTGAAGAGCAAAGGTTGGTGTAGTGATGAGAATATTCAAAATTAACTCTCCCTTTCTCTTTCTCTCCATCTGTATTTATCGTTTGATGTAATTCTCTCAGGTTCATTAAGTGGATGGGTATTCTGAGTGGGGGACGGAGACAGAATCAGTGAAGATGCACTTCAATGTGTTGGTGTATTTTGAAAAGTTGAAGAATAGTTAAGGGCAAAAAAGTACTTTTGTCTATTTTAACAGCATGGTGTTATGAGAAGCATATTTCAGAAACCCCAGGGGTACTTTGAGTAATTTTCCCTTAATAAAACCCTGAAAAGGAAAAAGGTAATCAACTACTGTGAATTTCCAAAACAAAAAGCTGACTCTGAAGGGGTAAGGATATTTTGAAAATATGATAATATGTATCTTAAAATTATTCTATGTAATACATTAATATGAAAGCTGTCTAAGCTATTTGACTAAGTGTCCTCCTTATGACACCAGGTAGGTACCATATGTAAAATATTCATAGCATTCAGACAAGTCCACCCAAAAACTGCTTAGTTGCCTAGGCATCACCTAGATGATGCCTTGACAACTATGCACATGGCGCCTATCCTTTATAGTTAATCATCTTTTCCAGCTGAGAATTCTATTGAAGGTTTCATATTCATAGGGTGATACTCTCAACCTTTGGTAATGCACAAACAAAGAGGATTGCGCATTTGCACTATGTGCTGATTCATGTAATTTTCTCTCTGTTCTTTGTGAAAACTCAAAACAAACAAGGAGATCTTCTTTTCTTTCTCTCACTTTCTATTCAACCAAAAACTTGAACTAGAGAAAAAGGCCTTTATGGTTGGGTATCTGCATTCTAGAATAAGTTCCGATAGGGTTAATGAAGGCATCTTTTATGCCAACAAGAGTTATAGCATTCCAACTTTCATGACCTCATAAACTTGTTCCAAAGCCTAATGCCAAGATAATCTAAATTTGGACATTGCAGGAAACATGAATAATTTTAAGATGAGTAGAGAATGCAGTCTAAGGAATCTTACTCGTTTCTGAAACTACATATATAATACCTGATAAAAGTTGGGAATGCGGAGAGATGGATTTCCAAGGACACATTGGGGTGATCCTGTTGCCTGGTTTATCATCCTAACTGTTGTTGTGAAGCCTAAAATTGCTGCTGATGACTAGATGCTAATGGTAATTTAGATGGGATCTTTTCTTTTAACTATTGAATATATTCTACCCTGAAACAGGACTTGTGTAAGCGTGTAGCTGATCCCAAAAGGTTGGGGTAAGGCTTTGAGTACATGTATCTGTTTCTTGAATAACTCTTCATTGAAGGTCTTTGGTTATCCTTGTGTTGGCAGTCTGTGCTTGGCTTCATTCTCTTCCCCCTTATTAGCAATTTTCTTTCCCACCTTTTTGAATTAGCATTTTTCTTTTATTTACTGACATGGTATTTCTTGTTTTATGATTAGACACATCACACATTATACAATTTGCAGAGAGACAGAGATTTGGCTTCTTAAAAAAAGGAATATTTACACTAGCCTTGTTATGTGCTTGCCTGTTTTAATGTTTGTTTCCTTCTCTATATATTGTCTTTCTCACTTTGTCTTTTTTTTTTTTTTTTTTTGCGTGTGTGGAAATAGGTAGCTAGGTACCCTATTCAAGCTGGTGATGCCTAGAGGTGTAAAGTGGGCCACGGGCCATGCTGCCCTCTCTGGTGAAAAATTTGGGGGTTGGCTCGGTCTGGCCCACAGCCCAGGCCCTGTGGGCCCGTGCCGTGCTGGCTTGTGGGCTGAGCTTTGGGCCAGGTCGGGCTGTGCATCGGGCCAAAGCTATTTATTTAAAAAAATTGACAAAAAACTTAAAATTTTAATTTTATATGAATTTTGTGTATAAAATTGCTTATATATGCAATAATTAAATAAATTAGTATACTAAAATTAAAAATATATTTATTTTATTAATATATTATATACTATATATTATTATATAATATTATATAACTATATAAATATATATAAAATATATATGGGCCGTGCTGGGCTGGGCTGTGGGCTGGGCCGTGCCGTGGACCTAAAACCCCAGGCCCAATACAGCCCGCATGGTCGTGCCAGGCCTGGTACAGCCCGCGGACCATTGTACCGGGCCATTCCAAGTTCGTGCCAGGCCGTGGGCAGCATGGCCCGATGTACACCTCTAGTGATGCCATATGGATAGCACCATTTGTGCCTCAATGGTATGAATTCTCTTGAGTCCATTCATATCTAAATCATCTTTTTATCCATGTGTTCTCTCAATCCTTCCATCACATATTTGTCAACATTTTTAGGTATGCTGCACTTGGGAAAATCAGAACAAGTTATTTACTATAGAAGGATGTGACAGGAATGCACTGTAACTATCTGTGGATAACACTGTTAGAAATCATAATTCTTGGAAGAGCAACTGCTCTGGCAAACCATGTAGGGGCAAATGGCAATGAGTTGCACCTTTAAACCAACCACAATATTAATATGTCTGGGAAAATATGAAATAGGTAAACTGAAATATATGAAGATAATTGTTATAGGACAACAATTTCTATTTACTCATTCAATGACCAAAAAAAGCTTATATTACTCTGGTTTATCCAAGCTATAACCTTGGACGAAGTGTCAATAATAGGTTATTTAAAGTGTGACCTAATTGTGAAGTTTCAACAGCCTTTTGCTTATCAAGGCTTTAAGAGGAGAGGATAACGTTTTTGATTTCTAGCACATCATCGTATGATTTTGTGAGCTGTTATAAATCTTAGGTCTAGAACATCATATTAGATAGAAAGTACAAAGCAGAAATGGTTTTTCTGATCAGTAGTAAAGAGAACTTCGATGCAACCAATGATTTTCGCAATGAAACTCATACAAAGGAAAGAGGAGGATGGGTGTATCTTATCTTTGACTTTCCTCTAATATCTCAGTTTCCCATTTTAAATCTGAAGTGGTAAAGAAAGAGACGTGTACGGTGTATCCAGAAGTCTGAAATGGAATTTGGAGTGCTGATGCTTCAAGCTCTATGTCAAACTAAATATTTATGAACACACAAGAAAAACGGTTGTCCATATTAACTAAACCACCACCTGCGCAAATTGGATGATCATAACCACTCAATCAGTCATCTTTCACAATCCTTCTTGCTTGGTTTCATGACACATCTTTACAAATCTTTTGGGAACCCACTGGGGAATGGAGATGGTAAGAGCTGTTTATAAAGAATGGACATGGTCTAGCTAAAAGAGTGGGTCATATGTTGCTTTATACAAATTTGTTGGGTGATGACTGATGAGCTCAGCGATTAAAAAAAAAACATGTTGATTAAGGAGAATAGAAGACGACCTTGGGAATCTTAAACAGGGCTTCTGAAGTGGTTGAAGCCTGTGCTTTTTTGGAGGGTTTGAAATTCGCTTGTGAGTTGGGGTTATCTTCCATTTGACTTGAAGGAGATGCATAGAAGGTTGTCTCTCTCTTGTTGGATCATTCCATTTTGGTCCCTTGGGCCAAGCTCTCCTGTTTAATCACCTTGTTTTCTCCCTCACCCCTTATACGGGTTATAGGGTGGCTCATGGCCTCCTGCTATTGCAAAATTTGCTTGTAATCTCACTAGACATCAAAGTATCAAACCTGGTCTAGTATTCCTCCTTTTCTATCACCTGAACTGATGGAGGATTTTTTTTCTTTGGTTCATAGCAATGTTTTAAAAACTGGACTAGACCAGACGATCAGACTACCGGTTCCGTTTCACCCCAGAACCGTCTTTTGACAAAAAATCGTTGATTTGGTCAGTGAACTGCTGACCTTGATGGTCAAACCATTTGAACAGTTGATCCAAACAATGGTTTTTAGCTGTTTTTTTTTTTTTTTAATTCTTTTTGTCAGATTGGGCCATTCATTTGGTTCGAATGGTGGGACTGTTTGACCTGGAAACCGGACCCCTGAATGGTGTGGTTTTAAAAACCTTGATTCATAACGTTACCAGGGGGAGGGGTAGCCCATCTCCCACACCCTTATCCCCCTTGGTGGCAGTCGGATTTGATCCTAAGTCTCTATTACAACCAGCTGGGGATCCCACCAACTGAGCCATCATCAAGACTTTGGAACTGCTGGCCACAACACATTCCCAATGTGCAATGTGCAACTGGGTGAACGTGGCAGCAATTTGTCGTGGTCAGCAGATCCGGACTCCACCATCAATGGTACTGATGGAAGGATTTGATGCAATGAAATGAAACTGCTTATAGAAACCACTAAATTAAAGTTGTAGTAAATGAAACGCCTGAACAGGGTAAAATTCTAGATGACCTAACGTCCTAACCTACATGGATAGATGGGATAGCGACCATCTGTGGTTCTGGATGAGATCGGCTTCGGTCAGTGCAAGGCCCATCGAACACCGTTTGAACAGTCTTAACACCGTTTGAACAGTCTTTACAGCTTTGCATTGTGAATATCTCTGTACCTATGTATTTTATTTTATGGGGAGATATTCCCAATGCAAGGCCATAAAAGTTCTTCGAATGGGCCTTGAAATGACTGAAGCGGAGTTTGTTCTGGATTGCCCATTTATTTATTCTTATTGTTTAACTCGAAATTGGATTTGGTTCTCATAAGACCGTGCTCACATCGTTTACAGTCCCTTACAGCTTCTTTGCATTGGGAATATCTCTCCATGAAAAAAGTATACAAATATTGAGATATTTCCAATGCATGGGTGTAAAAGGCTGTGCAAACGGTATTGGACCAATCCATTTATTAGAACATTTCTAAAGCGGTACTAGCTAGTAACTACTGAGCTTTGCTTTCACTGGGCTTTGCTCGGGCCCAAATATTGGCTGGACCAAAAGAGATCGCTGGGCTGAGGCCCAAATGCCTATCTCCAGAACCTGACCCGCGCTAAACTTAGTCCCTGTTTTCAACTCATCACCAACTATAGACATTTCTTTAGTGGTGTTTGGTCTCTAAGGCATTTCTGCCATTATGTAGGCATTTTGTTTTCTTCCTCACTTTTTCTTGTTTGATTGGACATTTTCAAGTCGTTTCAAGTAACATCAAATTTCTTGAATTCTATGAAAATAATTTTTGGAATAAATATCCTTTTGACATTTGCCTTGAAAATATTTTTAAATAACAATATAAAATATTAATAAAATTGAGAATTACTTTATCAAATTCTAAGACATGACAGTTGTGTGAGAAAATACAATGATACCAAACATCACCTCTATTAATTTGATG